ACAAAGATTCAGCAGTTATCGAGTTTTAATTAAAACTGAACCAATTCCAACTCCAAAAATTCCAATATTTTTACAACATGCTAGTACACATAAAACAAGCATCCCAGTCAAAAATCGAAATTTTCCAACAACTAACCAGTTTATAAAAATTAAAAAACTATTCAGAATAAACCGTAAATGAATTATTTACCCTATCAATATTAATTTAAAAATTCTAAACATTTTACATAGCCACTAAATCTGGTAGATTGACAACATATTAAAATGTCATGAATTTTGGTGCACTACACAATTTATTACGAATTAAACATGAATCTGAACAGAAGTCACTATAATTTTTAAAAATAGCTACAGACCTCCGAAAAATTTGAAATTTTTACACATGCTATAAAATTAACACAGGTCATCACATATAAAATTTAATGATAATCGGAGAAGCATAAAATTTATTATGATTTTATTACAAAAACAGCAACTACACACGTTCGATAATTTCTCTAAGACTCGATTTACGATAAAATCGCCCGAGGTCTTCACCAGAAGACCAAGGATGATAAATTGTTCCATTCCACAGTAACTTAAACACGAATGACGATGTCTCTTCCGATTTATCAAAATCGAAGAGTTCGTCTACACATTAATATATATAATGAACCAATTATGAACACATAAAATCATAGGCATTTATATATTAATTCATAGAACATGCTAAACGCATCTAATAAACACGAAATGCAACCCATATATACGATATAATGAGACGAGGTCCGACTAGGTACCGTTCTCGGGAAAAACTCGAAGAAACGGGACGTAGGACACGAACGGGGTTGCCGGGCTCGACGGATTCTCGCGTCTCGCCGGGAAAGGAGGTGCAGCAGCGGCTGTGGGTAGTGATCGGTGAAAATGGCCCGCGTGGACTGCTCGAAGGGCGTCCTTTGCTGCTGCTGCAACTCAACGGGCGACGAGAGGAGGTTGACGGGAGGCGACAGACAGACTTCAAACGGCAATTCAACGTCAGGCCGGGAGATGTGTTGTGCTCACAACCGTGATTTCCTCAGCTCCAGTCATCCTCTGTGCGGGCCTGGAGTTCTTGCGATTGGGCAGCGAAGCCTGCTGTAACCTCGCGATGGGGAGGGCTCACGATGGTGACGATGGTCTCGCGACGGCAAGAGGCCAAGACGCGACGGTGAAGGGCGGCGTGCGATCAAGATGGTGCTGACCGGATATAACAGCGAAGGAAGGAGGCTCGCGTGGGAGATTGGGAAGGAGAGAGTGACGAGCGAGAGGGTCTGGAAGAGGCGATGATGTCTGCGCGAAGAAGTTGACCTTCTGATCGATTTAGGGCTTTAAAAAAAATAAGGTTTTATGTACTAAGGGTCGAGATTAAGAGCATGGATCGGTTAATAAGCTCATGGGCCGAAAATACTACTAGATTTGGGCTGAGATTTAAAATATGGCCCAACATGGCTATGTCACACCTTCACGGGTCAAAATAAATAAAATCCAATGGCACGGTTCGTTTCACACAGGTATACTCGGGCCCGATTAAAAATCGTACGATTAATAAAATAAAACCGGACCAAAATATATATATAACACATTTTATTATTTTATTAATAATACACAATTAAACACATCATATTTTAAAATAATAATAATAATAATAAAAATATGCATCAGACAAATAATTACAATTTGACAATTAATAATATTTAGACAATTAATATTAGAAATAGTAATATTACTAATAACAACAAATAATGGCAATTTTGCATTTAATAATAATAATAATAATACTAATAATAATAATAATAAATAAGGAAAATAATAATAACAATAATCAATATTTATTCCCAATTAATCCACGATAAAATGGGGTATTACATCGCTGAAGTCCACCACATGATCGGGGTTATGCACATATCTCTGAAGCATCGAGACATGGAACACGTCGTGCACGCCCGACAAGTCTGGTGGTAAAGCCAGCCGATACGCTAAGTTCCCAACTCAATCGAGGATCTCAAACGACCCGATATAGCGAGGTCTAAGCTTCCCTTTCTTCCCGAAGAGAATCACACCTCTCATGGGTGAAACCTTCAAGAAGACATGATCTCCCACTGCATAAACATGCTCTTGTCTCTTCCGGTCCACATAGACCTTCTGCCTCTCCTGGGCAGACATGATAGTCCTCCGAATATCCTCAACTGTCGCTGCAGTACTCTGGACAAAATCCGGGCCTGTAATCCTCCTCTCTCCAACCTCATCCCAATACAAAGGAGTCCGAACCTTACGTCCGTACAAAGCCTCGTACGGGGCCATCTTGATTGAAGAGTGGTAGCTGTTGTTGTAGGTCAGCTCGACTAGCGGAAGGGCATACTCCCAAGTCAGGCTCCGGTTGTAACACCCCACTTTGATTGTAAAGAAATTTCGGACTTTCTAAATATCAGGGTAAAATTTTCAAAATCATTTTCGAAAATTCAATGGGTGTTAAACAACATTTTTCATAACCCAAGTCTTATCTGGGCTCA